AAAAAAAGAAAAAGAAAAGTTTGGGGAGGGAGGGGTGAAATACTTCGCTGCAAATGCAGAGAGCCAATCAGGGTCATTGAACGTTTATTGCAGGGGTAGTCAACCTTGGCTCTTTTATGACTCGTGGACTTCAACTCCCAGAATTCCTGAGCCAGCTAAGCTGGCTCAGGAATTCTGGGAGTTGAAGTCCACGAGTCATAAAAGAGCCAAGGTTGACTACCCCTGGTTTATTGCATTTGGAGCTATCAGATGCTTTCTTTCCCCCCCCCCTCCCATTAAAAGCAGAGATTTGGGGCCTTGGTACTGCTGAGTGGCCTAACGTGCCACATGCAGGCTTCCAATAAATAAAATAAAATAAAATGCTTCTGCTTCAGGATGGAATTTACAACCTTGCATTGTGTTAATTTCCAGCCACTTCTTTTTTACCAAATCTGTCTCTTGGACTTTAGAAGTTGCCTTTCAGGTAGTGGAATATGTATCTGGAACCACTTGCCTTTCGATTTAATTGAGTTTAACATTCAGAGCATTGATTGAGAGGCTGAAATTTTCTAACCGCAGATTTAGTAGTGGTGTTTTTTTTTTTTTAAATCATTTAACTCTTTGGGAATGCCTTAGATTAACCCGCACATGGTCTGAAATTTGGACCTCTTCAGTAATGAGTATTGCATCTGTCAGGAATGCATCTTTGGATGTATCATGATCTGAAAAAGGAATGCCTGTTCTATGAAGGAGATTATCCAGTCTTCCAGAGTTTAATATATTCCTGATTAATTTTATTTGCATATTCAAACATTAGTGATAGTCCCTACTTATTTTTATTAAAGTATTGAGTAGATGAAATGCTGCAATACTTTTCCTTCAGACAGATTTTAAATGGCACTTTTAGAACAGAACAATTTAAATGTAAAAACAAATTACTTTACCACACAGCATTTTTTCCTGACATTTTCTTTGCAATCATCCTGGCTTTTAAAAAAAACTATATTCCTCCAAACCATGAACGGAAGCCAAAAATGCAATGATTCATAGGTGGCAGTATTGTATGATGGCATTTTCAGTTTGTTTCAATAGAGCATGATAAATCGGCAAAGATTGAATGTTATTACACATTTGATATTTTTCCAGTTTTAATATGGCTGGATGCTATTTATAATTTTAAAATAGAATTATATTATACTTTGTAAGTTTATTTTCTTTTCAGTGGAAGTTTTCAAGTATCAGTAGATCAAAAACAATTTCGTGGGTTAAAAGGCACATAAAAATATAATTAATTACAATATAATCAACTTGTTTTAATCTACATATAATGAATTTGTTTAGCACAGCTGTTTGATATCATTGGCATAATATTAGTGAAGTGCAGTATTACTGAACTCTATATTGTTGGGGAAGCCAGGCCATAGTAGGTAAAATGGCCTAAAGGTGATATGGCTATAGCAAATGTTGAAGATGTTTCTCTACTGTTAAAATATTCACTATATTGATTTTCAGGTGAAAATTAAATGTACATTTTTAATATAGCTTTGTAAAAACACTTCCTTGAATGATTGTTTGAAGCCACTGTGTATTGCTAGATAATGACATTACTTGCGAATTATTTTGAGCTACCAAAGAAACTGTCAACATGAATGCTCCAAAAATGCTATACATTGTGCTTCAACTTATTCTCTTGTGTTGTTTTTCTGTTTCTTCCTCCCTTATTGTTGATCAGTATGAGTTTCACAAATCAAATAATAACCATATTTTAGGATTTATACCACAAACTGATGGCATATTCATGCAGTACTTACAAGTCTGTGGTAAAGAATATGCTTTTAGTATACATAAATATATTGGACTTGTTCAAACAATTATATGGCTTGATTTAGTTTCACTGAGCATGGTGTGGGAACCTAGCATACTCATAAACTACATTTAATCGGACTGCCTTATCAATAATGGTTATAAGCTGGTCAGGGTGATTCAACTTGGAAATGAGGAATTTTCTGACAATGAGAACAATTAAGCAATGGAACAGTTTACCTTCTGGAGTTGTGGGTGCTCCATTGCTGGATGTTTTCTAGGAAAGATTGAACAATCATTTGTCTGGGATGGTATAAGGATCCTGCCTTGAGCAAGGGGTTGGACTAGAAGACCTCCAAGGTCCCTTTCAGCCCTATAATTCTATGACTAAAGTATATGTGAATCCAACTAATGCCTGTTCATAATAGAAGTCCTGGGAAAGTTGCTAGAAAGCATCTTTGAAGAAAGTTCCTGGATCTTCCAAAAGGCTATGATCTGGTCATTAGGAGGGACATGTCAGGCACTGAACTATTGCACCAGTCATTGATATAAATGGATTTCTTCCTTTCTCCTTTTCAGTCATCTATATTGCAGAGACTAGATTTACTCAATTTCCCCTCTCCCCCCCCCTTCCCCTTGGGAACCAAATTATAATACATAATTCTGAAAGTTGAGAAATAGCTCTCATTAAAATCCAACACTCCTCCTTTCTGCTTGCATTTACAAAACAGTTGGGTTTTATAGCTTGGATAAAAGGCCTATGCTCATGTTCATATGATACTAAAAGTGTTAATGAATATTATTCCCATTTGGGGGGATTTCCCAAAAGTGGGTTACGACATGAGAGGAAAAGATTTGTAGTCCATTGAGAAGTTAAAAAAAAAAGATTGTATAAATTTAGCCTTACAAAATAAAACTGAAAGTTTAAAATAAGTATATGGGTAGTATAGACCAGGATCCCCAACCTTCTTGGTTCTGCGGATCTGCAGCGGCGGCGGTTTCGGCGGCTGGGGGAATGATTTCACATGCAACTTAAATCCCGCACATGTGCAAATGAAGCTTTGCACACTCACCCGCTGCTTTGGTGGCCCAGTTCCCAACAGGCTGCAGCCTGGAAAGACCTCTCGTGAATTCTTCCATCTTCATTTTGGTGAGATTTATTTCAATATTTTGGGGAAATTTTTTAAGAGCCCAGATTTTGCAGTGAAAAAAATACAGATAATGCTTTGATACCTGGTTTGTATTTCTTTTTGATGCCAAGTCAAAATAATTTAAATAGATCATGCTACTAGATTTTACCGTCTTGTCTTTATCCCAAGTCCTTAGTAGATTTGATGTTTTGCTCGGGACCTTAGTTTATAGTGGTGGAAGGCTCTGTGTATATGAAAAAAAGGCTTGTGAAAGAATTTATGCTAGTATGATATCAGCATGAATCTATATAAATATGAAACTCTATGTTTTATAATTGAATATTCTATTACCCTTTAAAGCACCAGGCTTTACTTTGTGTAAAAATGTAGTCAGATAAGAAGAATGATTCTAGCAGAAGAGACTAGGCAAGATAATTTACCATTGCTGGTTGTCTGTTAAAATGGAGATAACTGTTGCCCTTGTTTCACTGTATTTGCATCCTACAACTTAGTTAGCTATGAAAAAAGCTGGTCTACTTTCATCGACCAAAATCAGACATGGTTTATTGCTCTACTAGGATATATAAGAATATTCTTCAATTGAAGTATTGACTTTTTTTTTTTAAAGTTATTTTTATATAGATAACATTGAATTGTGTTTGCTTTGTTGCTTTGGTTAAACATGCTTTACAAGGAGAATAAAGGATAAACTTTAAAAAGGCTTTTCTAGCATAGAAAACATGAACTACTGCTGAAAAAAGTGGGAGAGTTGCAAGACAACTTTTGAATATAGCTGTCATTTTTACCCATATATTTGTTGACTGAGAATGATGGCCAGGCTGTTGGCCAAAGTAAATACAGAAAATGTGAAGATACAGTGCATTCATCCATGAAGATTTAATTGCCTCTTAAAAAACAATTACAGAAATTTATCCAATGGAGAGTGGGATAACATTATATTTGTGTCATTAGTTAGATGTCTCCTTAATTAAAAAAAAATTGCCCAGATACTTTTTATCACATCCTATTCCAGTATTGAATAGTTCCCTCCTCCTCCCCTCCCCCCTGAATTTTACAAACTGTCTTGCATAGTTCTTGTCTAAACAAATCTCATTAACTTTTTGAGTTCAGTTTGAAATGATGACGGACACCAAAAGGAATGAAGTCAATCTTATCAAATGTCTTTTAGGGCAAATGAGTCACACCCTGTTGCCATCTGGGATTCCTCCTTACGATACCTAGAGGTTTGTTCAAAAGGCTCTTGATATCATTACAGGGAATTTCTGGGATCATCCATTCATTTCTGATTATTGAAGTACTGTAAAGGAAAGATCGCAACTGGTTAATGGTTTTTTTTAGCACCTGTGACATACTGACAATCTGTTTTCTGACACTCTCTACCTCATAGGAATGCTTGCTTACTAGCACTGAATGTCTGTTACAGTGCCAAGACAAAGAAAGTGAGACAGAAGTTCTGAAACATATAGAGTTGATCCACCAATTGATAAATTTATAGAGACACTAATTAAT